TGAGTAGAAATTTATGTCTATTTGATTCATCAACGAATCTCCAGAACCTGGAAATGTACATAGAACTCAAGTATTCATTAAGTATATCCATGATGAAAGAATGAACAATTAGCCCTGTGTTCACATTCCTATAGTATGAGTTTAATTCCCATATTACAACATTCAGTATTCTATAAACTCTGCAGTTCTGTCAAAACTAGAATCATGTATTCATTTAGACTGACTCAATATGATTTAAACTCTGGTTACAAATGAATAAATATTCAATACCTAATCTTAAATATTGAATTGTCATATTGAAGACAGTATGTTCTTTTTAGGTTTTTCCAGAAGAATAAAAGAGCTAGAAATCCCTAAACTTGAGTTATAAGATCCTGAGCAAGTGTGGTTTACTTCTTTTAACACTGTTTCCTGAACTATAAATTAGGGAAAATACCTAAGCCAAATATAAAGTACACACAATAACAAAAATGACAAAGAACAGGGGATCTATGCCAATCCTTGAAGAATTAAGGATAATTAATATTTTATCCTTAAAAATATCATGTGCTTCTACAGCATTCTTTATTTCTCTTAATAACACTTATTCTGGTTTGTTCATATTACTAACAGATTCTAATCTATTTGAAAAAGACCTGGCACTCTGTAAATATTTGCTGAATGAATGACTATTACCATTATACAAATGTATTTACCTGACTGGTTAAAATGATTATACTTTTATTTTTAAAAAGTAAAATGCAGATGCTTACTTTAGCTACTGTCTTTTAAAACATTTCTGGCATAAAATAAATGTTTTTATAAAAAAATACAGTATGGAAATGAACTAAGCCATCAACTTGTAAAAAACTAGAAAAAGACCAAAGTAAATAAAAAATGTATGTATGGGGATGACATTAACAAACACAAATGTAAAATTATTGATTATGAACTCAAATGAAAATGAATAAAATAAAAGTTGGTTCTTAGAAAGCTGAATAAAATGTATGAACTTCTGGAAAGCCAAACAAAGAAAAAAATAGCATTAGAATGAAAAAGAAAATTTAAAACTACAAAGAAGAGATTAATAGATTTATTGGAATACTGAATACAACTTTAAATCAATAAATGTTCATGCTAAAAAAATTCTATTTCCAAAATTAACCCAGGGAGGGGTAGAAAAAATTATCAGATCCATAACTACATTAGAAATTCAAGTATTTGCTGAAGATCTACCATTAAATAAGCTATCAAGCCGAATGATTTTATGGGCCAGTTGTATACAGCCTACAAAGATCAGATAATTTCTATGTGATTTTCATTATTCCAAAGCAAAAAAAAGATGAAACACTTCCAATTTATTTTTCAAAAGTGACATAGCACCCAAATTTGAAACGAGAGAAGAAAAATTTATTGAAAATTCTCACTTGTGAACACTGATTATAAAATCCTGAATAAAATATCAGCAAATTAAAACCTGTGGCATAGCAAATATAGAGTTTGTTACTACTGCCTGTGGGACCTTGGGCAAATTACTTTACTTTTTTGTCTTACTTTCTTTATCTGTACAGTGGAGCTCATAATAGTATCTACAGTATGAAGTTATTATAAAGATAAGGTAGGTAAATAGAAAGTCTTTAGAATAGCCTGTGACATGTGGCAAATGCTCAATAAGTGTTAAGTATTATTATCCCAAGAACAAAAAAGCAAGATAATCCATTGTTATTATTTTAAAGGGGAATATAAAATAAATATAAAATATATAAATGCGAACATTTGATAATTTTTAGATTTTTTTAGACTAAACCAGACATGAAGGCAATCTCTTAAACATGATAAAGAATATTTATCTCAAACTAATAGCACAAATTATACTAAGTGTTAAAATACTGGTGATTCTCATTAAGTAACAAAATAAAGAAGTTCAGTATTAATATGACTTTCCATACTTTAGAGATTACACTAATGTGATAATATAAGACAACAAATATTGAAAGAGACAATGATTTACAGATATATAGGTAGAAAGTGTAAATATATAAAACTCTATGAGAGTTAATAAGAGATTTCAGTCAATAGGCTGGATTAAAGATGTACCAAAAATCAGAATCTTTTGAGTAGCAATAACAAAAATTTATAAGAAAGAAAAAGAACCTACTCATGAAAATTATATAATACCCAGGAATAAACTTAATGAGAATAGTATAAGACTATATGACAAACTATATAAAATTTCACTGAACATAAAATACACCCTAAATACTTCTATTAATGACCTCAGCAGCATCTATATCTCCTCAATCATTCAACCTACAAACTAGGAATCCCTTCTGGACTCATCCTTCAATGATCTCCTCACTCCTCACATTAACAGTCACCAAGTTCTGCCTATTTTACCTCATATATTTGTCAAATTGGTCACCTCTATTTCATCTGCACTTCAATTATTCTGATTATCCTTTGGAAAGACTCTAGCAGATTAGTCTTCCTACTTCTGGTCTTACCTTCCTCAAAATTATAGCCTATGCAGCTGCCAGAGTAATGAATCTAAAATACAAACCTGACTACATCAGGGTCCAGTTTAAAACCAGAGATCACCACTGAATTCAGGATGGAGTCCAACTTCAAGGCTAATAAAAAGCCTCAGTTATCTGGACCCAGCCTCATCTCTTCCTCCTTTCCTTCTCTCTTTTTAGAGCCTAAAAATATGGCTCTGTGTTTCTTAAATTAGGATATGCAAGTATATCTGATTAAAGATGTCAGGACTTCAGCTACAAACACGATACATCTTACTCAACTTACAAAATCAATTTTAGAAAAGGTTTTATAAGAATCATTATTTGATATTAAAATGAAAACAGAAGAGAATGCAAAATCTGCACGACTGCTTATATTTAAATGCAAAACTTCAAAGAGATATGCCACTTAAACATCAGGCAATTGAGAGCCTTACTTAGGGATGATGATGACACACTTGTCATCATAAGTGAAAATCACACTACCAAACTCTTCTCATTGCATTTGCCAATGACTGTAACTAACACCAAGAACTTAATTATGCCAGGCAACAGTTGATTCTTCCTGATGAATTTATTTTATAACTGTTTCTAAGACCTTATAAGACCTCATGCTACCACCTCCATCCTTGTTCTCTCCACTCCAGCCACCTGGCCTCTTGCTGTTTGTGGCACATTGTCATACACCCACTTCAGGGCCATTCATTGCCATTTCCTCTATCTAGAAATTTTTCCCCCTAGAGAGTATAGCTCTCTCAACTCCTTGAAGTACTGTCTCAAATGCTGCTTTTTCAATGAGGTTTATCCTGACTTTCCCATTTCCCTTATCAATTACTAACAGTACTCTGGGGCAATAAGTCCAGAGCAATAACTCTGCTCTATATTTCTCCATATATAATTTTCCTAACTTGCTTATTGCTTCCCTAAGAGAATATAAGTACCAGAAGAGTAGGATTTTGTTTTATTCATTAAACCTCTAGTGCCCAGAAAGGTGTCTAGCATATTTTAGACTCTGAATGAATTATTTATTCAATGGACAATGCTATGAAACAGGTACTACTCTTGACCAGATTTTTACCTTATGAAGAGACTGAAGCAGAGAATTTGCCTAAGGTCACGGTCAAATTTGAGCTAGGATTTATAAGCAATCTGGTTCCACTCTTTGCCATCACTGCATGGTGCCTCTCATTTATGTGGTGAATTTCAAAAGTACTATCTACTTAGTATGTTTCCATTACAGTTTTTAAGCTATAGGGCTGTGGTCCCCAATCCCCCCACTCCCCCCACCATGGCCCAGTACGGACCTAGGAACCCGGCTGGGCATCACCACCTGAGCTCCCCGGCCACATCTGTGAAAAAATTGTCTTCCATGAAACTCGGGAACTGGGCCTCACAGCACGAGGTGAGCTGCAGGCCAGCAAGCAAAGCTTCATCTGTATTTACAGCCTTTCCCCATCCCTCACATCACCGCCTAGGCTCTGCCTCCCCACACACCCCGTCTGTGGAAAAATTGTCTTCATGAAACCGGTCCCTGGTGCCAAAAAGGTTGGGGACCAATGCAGTAGGGGATACTTTCCTGTAGTTCCCTGACTGGCAATGCCTAGCCCGTGTTATACACTCAATATCTGTTTATAAAATGACGGGAAAAGCATGAATGAATACATTAACTACCTAAATATTTTTACATGAATGTCTCAATTGGTTAAAACATTTTAAGCTTTCAGATTTAATTTTAAAATAATTTTTTAATACAAAAGATAAACGCTGCCTCAAAAAATTTAGTGATGCAAAAATATGTTCGTTGACAAAACAATTTCTAATGAACGATGTAATTAAATGGACATGTACCCTATTCTTACAATTTTCTACAACCTGCATTTTAAAGCTTTATTCAACATCAGCACACAGTAAGCAGAAAGTTCCAGAACCTGGTACCTGACTGACTTTATCACATACACATACATCTCTGACTAAAAAACACAAATAGTGCCATTTTCGTAGATACCGAGAATGATAAAACAAACCAGTTATGCCAAATAGAAAGACACCTTCACTTACAAAAACTGACGCTAATGAGAACACCCTCCGGCGCAATACCTGGCCCAGGAGTCACCCTGAGGTAGCCTTCTAGAATAAGTTTGACAAATACTATCGTAACGGCCATAAAATGCCAATGACCATTGTTTACTCTGAGAAACAATCATTCCTGGGCAGAAGGGGTGGACGTATGAGAGATTTAAAAAAGAGGCCCCTCCCAGGCCGCTCAACATCTTGGGGCCCAAAGATTCTCGTCCTCAGATCTCACCGTGTCTAGACTAGGGGGAAGCGACCATTTCTCAGGAAGAGGATGATGCACAAAGGAATAAGCGTGAAGGCCGAGGAAGTACACGAATAGAGCGCACAGATGAATAAAACGCCCCTGCGCCTAACCGCCCCTCCACGGGTCGGGCCAGAACAGTGATTCTCGCGAGATCTCCCGTCGTCACGGGATCTCAAGCTGAAACCTCGCGGCCTCTCAGATAAGGGGGCTCGGAGGGAGAGCTCCCAATCCCCTCCACGGACCCACAGAGCACCTCCACCGCAGGCCCACCCCGCCAGTTTCCAGAGCAGCTCCCCAGGGTTCCTAGGGCTTCCGGAGCTCAACCGGAACCGGAAGCTTCTGGGAACGAGGGGGTGGAGCCGAAAATCAAAAAAAGCGCGGCGAAGGTCGGAAACCCGAACTGACTGGGTGGTGGGATTTGGGGGCCTGCGGACGGTCTCGATGGACTCCACCGCCTGCTTGAAGTCCTTGCTGATTACCATCAGTCAGTACAAAGCCGTTAAATCAGAGGCGAACGCTGCTCAGCTTTTGCGGCACTTGGAGGTGAGGCTCTGGAATGCGGGGACGAGATGGGGATGCCCCCTAGTAATTCTTAGCTCACTATGAGGCAGGGGGAGTGGCGGTCCCGGCCTGGGAAAGAAAAGACAGCCTGTCGCTCCCTCAGCTGTTCTTGTCTTCCCGATAAAGGCGAGTTAGTGTCAAGGTTCAGCTGCCTGCAGCCAGAGGGATGAGTGCCTACCGAAGGCTCTAGGAAGAGGGAAGGTGGGACAGAAGGTTGGGAAATGTAGACTGTGTTTCGGGAAGGTAAAGGACAAAGCTCCAAGCCGTATCTTCTCTTCCTTTGCTATTTGTTCTGATTTTTTCCGTCGAAACCAAGCTCTGTCAATAAACAAAGATTCTCGGGGACGGAGGTGGTAGGGAGTCATGATTAAAACTTGTTTTTACCATTAGGTAGTTTATAGTTCAACCTGTTGCTTACTGCTCTTATTTGAACTGGTGTTGAACTCGAACTTGAAAAATATTATCTCAACGATTTTTGATTAAGAAGTAATCTCCCTTACTAGTAAGCGGAATCTTTCTTCTTTACCAAAATATATTGCTCACAGTTTTTTGATCCTACAATGCTGAATTGCTTTCATTTTTTCTATTAATATTACTTCTAGTGATACGCATCTAGATTAGTCTATTTTAGGCTCTTAATCTGCTTTCGTTTGTTATGAATTCATGGAATTCAAACTAACCTTGACCTTCGTTTAATTAAAAAAAGGATTAAGCTCAATTAAACCTTATTTTAATTCTTTGTTGAAGCTCTCCTCTGTTAACAAAGAATTGAGGATAATTTTAAAATATGTTCTCTTTGTTATATTAACCCTATGGTAAAAGGTTAATGTACCAAAGACTTGTAAAATACTACAGAGAAAAGATAATTTCCAATGATACAGCAACATCAGCCCTTATCAGAACTGGATTGCTTGTTTCCTTGATCTTCACTGGTGTTCCTCTTCTTACTACTTCAGGTGCCCATCTCCTAAGTACATTTGTTTCCTTTTTTTCATTTGTACTGGTAAAGGCGAGTGAGTTTCAAGGTTCAGCTTGCTGCTGCTGATGAGTGCCTACTGAAGGCTCTAGGAAGAGGGGAGGTGGGACAGAAGGTTGGGAAATTTAGCTTTTCAGTTAGGATAGGACAGTAGATAGTGAATTCCAGAAGCCATAGAATAAGCAAGGCCATTGATTTTATTTAAAAATTAGGAGTTAAGCATTTTAGATACTGATCTGAAACATTACCTCTCCTAGAGTAAACAGGTTGTGAATCTGAGTGCAATGTTATTGTGAATTGAGGGAGACTTCAGAGAAATTTGGGACTTGATGCTGTGTTTCTAAACTTTCAAGGGGTTTATGGAAAACTCTTATGCCATTGATGCAAAGGTATGAAGAGGTTGAGGTTACCACTCCTAAGGACATTTTTTTTTTGTTATTGAGAGATGACATACATACAGTGCATAAAGTGAACTAATCAGAAATGAAGAGCTTAATAGTTTTAACATATGTGGACACTCGAATAGCTACCACCTGTATCATAATACAGAACATTTCCAGCACCGCATAGGGTTTCTTCATTGTCCCTCACATAAGTGTCAGATAAGTGGACTTGTACAATATGTACTCTTTGTGTCTGGCTTCTTCCTCTCAATATGTTGCACATATACCAGTACTTCATTCTTTTTTATTGCTGTATAGAATTCTATTGTAAAAATATGCCACACTTTATATATGGTCTCCTGTTTATGGGCATTTGGGTTGTTTCCAGTTCTGGGTAGAATTATGAATAAAGCTGGCATAAACAATTCTTATATATTTTTTGTGGATATATGCACTCGTTTCTTTTATACAACTCAGGGTAGAATTGCTAGGTCATAAGATAGGCTTATGTTTAGTTTTAGGTGAAACTGCTAAACGATTTTCTGAAAGCTTATACCATTTTACTCTCCCACTAGGCTATCATTCATCCACATCAACCCTTGGTGTTTTCATCTTTCTTAATTTTAATCATTTTGGTGGGTAATATTTGGTTTTTTAATAGTAAATTTGCAGACTTCATGAGAGCAACATGTGAGGATACAAAGAGAGATGGGTATCATGTGAAAGTGATTCATTCTTTTATACTTCTGCCATACTTTGTCTTTATAGTCCCATGTTGAACCAGGGCTTTGAATATTTTATGATTGGCAAAGCTGATCTGATCTGATTCTTGGTGATGGTATTCACAGTAATAATCTTGTATAGTTATTAAAAGCATGGATTCAGGAACCAAGCTGCCTGGGTACGAATCCCAGTTGTGCTCTGTTATCTTCACTGTGTGCCTCAATTTACTCATCTGCAAAACAAAATTGTAGCACCTATCTTATAAAGTTATACTCTGAAGATGCAGAGAGTTAACATACGTAAAGTACTTAGATCAATGCCTAGGCCAGAGTAAATGCTATATAAGAATTGATAATTATTAAAATGAATTATATTTACATTAAGACATTGAGTATATGAGTAAAGGGAAAATTTATAAAGCGATTTTTCATTTTGCCTTGTACTAAATAATTATTATATGTTGGGCTTATGTTATTGAGATACAGATCCAATCCTGAGGGGAATCATGTTTAAAACAGAAAATGTCGGCCAGGCGCGGTGGCTCATGCCTGTAATCCTAGCACTCTGGGAGGCCAAGGCAGGCAGATTGCTGGAGGTCAGGAGTTCGAAACTAGCCTGAGCAAGAGTGAGACCCCGTCTCTACTATAAATAGAAAGAAATTAATTGGCCAACTAATATATATAGAAAAAATTAGCCGGGCATGGTGGCGCATGCCTGTAGTCCCAGCTACTTGGGAGGCTGAGGCAGCAGGATTGCTTGAGCCCAGGAGATTGAGGTTGCTGTGAGCTAGGCTGATGCCACAGCACTCACTGTAGCCTGGGCAGCAAAGTGAGACTCTCTCAAAAAAAAAAAAAAAAAAAAAAAAAAACAGAAAATGTCTTAATCATCTGAAGGGCTAAATCTATAAATAGGCAAAAGGGTATTGCTCAGAAGGTTCCCTAACCCAAAATATCTGTTATTGATGTCTATAATTTCAGCTTTGGACTTATTTTTTTCATTCTTAGAGACTTTAGTAATGTTAAAACATATATTCTTTGAGAATAGATAATGTGAAAACTCCGTTAACCAGAAACACTTTAGAAGAAAAACTGACATGTAGATGAGGGAATAAAAGAGGGATACAGAAGAGAAAGCTTGGAGCAGCAGTCCTCAACCTTTTTGACACCAGGGACTGGTTTCATAGAAGAAAAATTTTCCACAGAGTGGGGCTGTGGGGAGGAGGCCTTGTGAGGGAGGAGAGGGGCTGTAAATACAGATGAAGCTTCACCAACAGCTCACCTTGTGCTGTGCATCCCCCAGGTTCCTAAGTTTCATGGAAGATTATTTTTCTGGGATAGGGGTATGGTGGAGGGTGACAGCAGAGTTCTATAGCCCGGTCCCTAACAGGCCACGAACAGGTATCTGTCTGCAGTCCTGGAGTTCGGGATCACAGGAGAGGGATGCTAAAGCATCCATTTAAGTCTGATCTTTTCAAATAAGTGTTTAGAACAGATTTAGTCTTATTCTAAAGTAACTAATGGTTTTCCCATCTTTATAGAAAAGATATGCTTAATAATGAATATATTTGTAAAGCATTTTGAAAATTCATGCTTTCTGACAATTGATTATGGCCTTCAATTCCAGCTTTACCTTTTCTCTCTCTTTCTCTTGCCCCCCTCCCCACCCTTATAGTTTATAAATTATAAGAAAGGAGTAAAAAGTGGGATAACCAAAAATAAGTGCCTTGCCTGGCTACTTAAAAGATTCTTTTTTAACTTCCTTCTCTGTAATCTCTTAACTTCTGGGCTTACATATTATCTTTGGGAAAGAGTGGAAGGAGTAATCCCATAGCTATATTTTGGACTTTATTTTCCATTTCTGTTCCCTCAAAGTAGGTGGAATGAGTGTACTGGAATTCATTGATAAAATTAATATATTGGTAATAGAGTACAGATTCATAGTTTATGCCTGTATGGCATGTTCAATGTTGTGTGAAGGATAACTATTGCTAGATACTCAAACTTTGCTAACTTGTAAAACAGAAATATAATATGCTATAGGGTAGTGTTATAGGCAAACCTAACCTAGATAGTGTAAGCGGTTTAGGGAAAGCATCCTGGAGGAAATGAATTTAGACTGAGATCCAAATGATTATTTTAGCTAGTGAGGGAGGGATTAGGTATTCTTCTAGGCAGAGGTAACAGCATGTGTGAATTTTTGGAAGAATTGAGTTTTTCATTCGAAATGGAGAAAACATGAAAATTGCCAACTCTTAACCAACACATTTTGTTTGCTATTTATAGGTAATTTCAGGACAGAAACTCACACGACTGTTTACATCAAACCAGATATTACCAAGTGAATGCTTGAGTTGCCTCGTTGAGCTACTTGAAGACCCAAACATAAGTGCTTCACTGATCTTAAGTATTATCAGTTTGCTGTCTCAACTAGGTAGTACATTTAGTTTCTCTTTTTAAGTTTTTGGGAGATGTATGAATTTAATATTTATTAAAGTGCAGATTTAGTTATCGATTCTCTTGGAGAATGAGTCACATTCAAAAGATTTCTTCATTGCAGGACCTCTCAGAGGTGATGTACATTGTGAATCTCTTCAAAGAAGGGAATATTGTATGCAATATTTCTTATAATTACTGGATCAAAGAATCTGAAGCATATCCAAGATTCAGTTTTCTAAAGAAAAGAATGTACTTTGAGAAATGCTGGCCTACTTTTGAATTAAAAAACAAAACCCCCATATACATCATGCCAGCATTAACTATACCACTAAGAAAGTCATGCTACCAAAGAATTATCTTTCTGTGATAGACTGGATTGAACTTAAGACCTAAGGGTAAAAATGCTGTTGCTTTTTCTTATTTTTTTCTCTTATCTTTAGTTTTTAAATGTTCATGTAATGGTCACTTTTCTCCCCAGTTTTAGGGGGAAGGTTATTTCTGTACATGATTATAAAATTACCATATGCTTAGTATAAAAAAATCCTAGGAATCCAGAAATATTGACACAGCAGCATTTTACAGTGAACTTTCTTCAGTGATCGTGCTGTACAATGTAGTAGCCATTAGCTGCATGGGTCTGTCAATCATTTGAATTGTGGGTAGCGGACTGGAGAACAGAATCTTTAATTTTTTTAATCTAAATTTATATAGCCGCATGTGACCTAGTGGCTACCAATGTAGACAACAAATATAGAGTAAAATGGGAAGAGTCTTTACTCATTACCACCACCCTCATCATTTCTACCTTTGAGGATAAAATCTCATTTAATGGTTTGATATATGTATCTTTCCAGACCTTTTTCTGTGCTATAACAAATAATTTTAGATCTTTATTTGTTTTAACACATATGGTATTGCAGAACACTATGTGTTTCTTTTTGTATCATTATCTTTTTAGTAGCTGCCTAGTACCATATTTAAGTAGTACTATGATTTGTTCAACCATTCCCCTAATGGTGGAAACTCATGTTCTTTTTCAAGTTTTTGTTACAGAATGTTTGGGAATGCCAAAAAAAAAAAAAAAAAAAGAAAAGTTTTTGTTATTAGAATCAATAGTGCAATAGATATTTTATGTATTTTTGCTCAAATATGAGTATGTTTCCATTAGATAAATTCTCAGTGGAATTTCCAGATCATTTAAAAATTTTATAGCTATTACTAAATTGCTTTCCAAAAAGACTGCCAGTTTGAATGAGAATTCCAGGTACTTCCAACATTTAAATATATTAGAAAGTTTTAAAGTCATAATCTTTTTATTTTTTTTTAACTTATATATATTTTAATTAAAATAGACATATTTTAGAGGCATTTTAGATTTAAAGAAAATTAAAGAGATCTTTTTAATATATTTTTTATTTTGTTATTGATACATAATATTCATACATATTTAAGATACCATAAATATGTGATGTTTTGTTATATGTGTAGAAGGTGTAATGATCAGGTCAGGGTATTTAGGATATCTATCACCACAATGGATTTATCATTTCTATGTGTTGAGAATATTTCAAATTCTCCCTTCTAACTATTTTGAAATGTACAGTACATTGTTGTTAATGCTAGTTACCCTACTCTACTATTCAATGTAGAACTTATTTTTTCTATCTATGTTTGTATCTGTTAACCATCCTCTCTTCCCTACATGGACATGCCCCCTACATCCTTCCCAGCCTCTGATAACTGTCATTCTACTCTCCACCTCTATGAGATCAACTTTTTTAGCTCCCACATATGAGTATACGTGATATTTGTCTGTGTGTCTGGCTTATTTTACTTAACATAATACCTTTCAGTTTTATACATGTTGCTTCAAATGACATTCCATTCTTTTTTATAGCTGAATAGTATTCCTTTGTATAAATATACTGTGGATTGATAATTTTTTATTAGTAAAAATTCTACAAATATGTAAAGCAAGTTTTTTATTTGATATTAATTCCACATAAAGAAATCATTTGAACTTCTGGACTGGAGGGTATTGACAAATAGCCAAATCATACTTTATTTTTTAAATGATAAAATTATATGAAATAAAGATTGTTTTTATTTCATCCATGTGACCATATATAAAAATGATGTATTTTGAACTATTTTATTTTAACTTGCAGCTGTAGACAATGAAACCAGAGATTGTCTTCAGAATACATACAATCTGAATAGTGTGCTGGCAGGAGTGGTTTGTCGAAGCAGCACTTGCCACAGTGATTCAGTGTTTTTGCAGGTATACACGCCCCCACAGTATGGTGTCACTTAACACCTGTTCCCCTTTCCATATTGTCAGATCAAAATTGATAGTATCTATTATAAACTAATTTATATATTCTGCTGTATCCTATGTAATCAGGCTCAGTTCTTATCATTAAAAGCTGATTGCACACATATGTACTATTTAAATGTTTCTAGAGAGGGAAAGCCTACCCACATCTAGCATCATTATTGAAGAAAAACAAATCTACATTATAACTGCTTTGACTTATAAACACAGATGTCTGTGTTTTGAAATGTAAGCTATTCATATTAAAATTGTAATTTGAGTTGGCATCTAGTCTCAATCTGTCGAGGAAACATTCTACAAAAATTAAAACTATAGATATACTCTTATTTCACATAGATTCAGAGCTCTTACACTCATCATTTCATTGATCTGAAATGTCATCAGTTGTAAGAAAGAAAAACATCACCAATTAAACTGACGTGCAATTTTGGCAATGGTAAAATGTGAAAAAAACATACCTTAGAATTAATAGTATATGTGTGTATTTCAACCTGCATTCAAGTTTAAGATGACTAAGTGAACAAAATTTATGCGGATACCCTGTTTGAGATATAATGTGTAGAAATGTGTGGGTAGGGAGATGAACCTTTAGGTTTTTAATAGTGTCATTAATTTGTATATGTTTAAAAAAACTGTTTTAAGAAGTAGAAAAGTTCTTGCCCTGATCCCTCCTTCCTGAAATGATGACATGCTCATCATTTATATGCCCAGTGGTCCATTCTTGTGAACAGGCAGTGTTTCTACAATGTTTATATGCATAACTGTTTTCTTATTTTCAGTGCATTCAGCTTCTACAGAGGTTAACGTATAACGTCAAAATTTTCCATTCTGGTGCCAATATAGATGAATTAATTACATTCCTGATAGATCATATGTAAGTATGCAATCAAAAATGTAACCAAATAGTCTATTGGTCTATTTTTAAACTAAAACCATGTGGCCGATCAATTCTTCTTTGATAGTGTTTTCTAACTTTTTAATCTTAATGAGACTCCAATTTATGTTTTCTCCTCCTAGATGATTTTAAGGATCAAAAGTTGTAAAACAGCTCTAATTTTCATAACAAAAATTTATGAGATGAATTTATTTTGTAGGAAATAAATTTCATTGTAGGAAATGAGAAAGAAAGTTAACAAAGAATAAATATAGGAGGTCTGGCCGAGACAAAACTGTGTGATTTTTCTCAAGCTTTGATTAGCTACCCAAGCATTAAGTTAGACTTTGGAACAGATTCAGGATTGGGTTTTTTGCTAAATGGTGTACCAGATAAACAAGAAGAATTGCCAGAAGTGATTCTGCCAGAAAGAGGTTGCAGAAAAAAATGATTAAAACTGACAATTGTATGTTTATATTTAATCTTGGTAGAACATACTGATAAAATAGCACATGGTCACTGACAATTATTTTCATATTTTTATGGTGTAATTGAATAGGATAATTTGGTTTCAAAACATGAAATAATCAGAGCTTGACTGGCTTCACATATTAATTAGAGTTTTTGCATGCAAAAAAGAATTGAAATGTATAAACTACTATATCATTTTAACTAATTTATAATGAACTTAATGCTTTTTGTTATGATTTTTCTTTAAACAAAACACCACTGTAAAACTACAGTCAATCCTCTGAAGATGAGTTAACAATGCCTTGTCTAGGATTATTGGCAAATCTTTGTCGGCACAATCTTTCTGTTCAAACTCACATAAAGACATTGGTAAGAAGTTTATTGTTTTTTAATGTTTCTTATTTTGTGGTAGGTTCTATGCTTAAGGAAAATTTTATCTGTCTTTTTCTTAAAAAAATATTTAACAGAGTCTTATGTCTCATCAGCTAACTCATCAAAGCTAATGAAGAGTCAGACTGACATATGAATAACTTGAAGCAATTCAGCCTTCATGTGTGTATTAAAGACTGTATGTTAAGAGTTAATGCAAATACTGATTTCTAGAAGTTTTCCCTCACCGTAGCATCCCATTATTTGTCACATTGAATAATACCAGAATCACTAAATTATTTTGTGGTAATAGAAGAGAGGTACATCACTGGCAGTCCCAATTACCTCAGTCTTGTTTTCACAAAATCAATGCTGATCCACCGGAAAGATCCGTCAGTAAGTGCTCAGTATCAACCACCAGTACTTCTAGTAAGTGAAGGCACACAAATGAACTTAACTGAACCACCTTTAGAAATATATTAAATCAAGAAATTCAGTGATTCTTTAAGGAGCTTTGTGAACAATTTCGCTGCTGTGACAGAAAAGTGGCAAAACTTGGCAAAAATTCATCTCTCACTCATTTGCACATATTTACCAATTTTTTTTTCTAGATGCTCTTTGTTTATAAGTCTTTGAATTTAAATTTTTCTCTGATTTAAATTTGTTTTATAGAACATTTATCTTTTAAAGGTGACAGTCATTTCTTAAGAGTTTATAATGATGTTTAATCAGAATCTTCCCACTCTGTGTAAGACAGACTTTTTTAACCAAAATATAAAATTCATAATTCTTTATTCTAATTTTAATTTTTTCTTCCCCAGAGCAATGTGAAATCTTTTTATCGAACTCTTATAGCCTTCTTGGCCCATAGTAGTTTAACTGTGGTTGTGTTTGCACTTTCAATATTATCCAGTTTGACATTAAATGAAGAGGTAGGGGAAAAGGTAAATATGATTTTTGAAGTTAATTCTAAAGTTTATGGTTTCTGATATTTTAAAAGTCATGAAGGCATTTTTAAAATATTTTAGGATGGTATCAACTTAAATTTTTTTGTGTAATATATTTTTTCTAATTTGTTTTTAAGCTATTCCATGCTCGAAACATTCATCAGACTTTTCAACTAATATTTAATATTCTCATAAACGGTGATGGTACTCTAACTAGAAAGTATTCAGTTGACCTACTGATGGACCTCCTTAAGAATCCTAAAATTGCTGATTATCTTACCAGGTATGACTCACTTTAGTAAATTTTAGTACTTCTTTTTAATCAAGATGTGTTTGTAATAAATAAAACTGTCTTCTTAAATAAAGTAAACTTCAATTCTAATGATTCACAGTAGACTAAATCAAAATGTTTTGATGTGCTTTACTCTTATTCTTTTTGCTTTCCTAACCTGAGATGTAAATGTATAACAAGGGGATGTGTGTATGTGTTTCAGTCTTTGTCTTAGATCAATAGGGTTGTATCATTCTCCAAAATATAGACATCTTGACTTATTTGTTTTAAAACCAGTTTTAAAACTTGAGCACTTTGATTCTTTGGAAGAATATTTATTATAGGAACATTCATGTCAGTATGTGTCCTTTTTTATTTTTTGCATAAAAATGGATAATGTTTCCTTTAGTGCATGCCTCTTTTGTCATAGGTAAAACAGGAACACATGTTTATTGTCCTTTCTATCTCAATGTATTTCCTGGGATCGTTTATATTTTGAGATCAGGCAGTAACTGTTTTCCAAAGAGCTGTTTTGCATTCTGCATTAAATTTTTCCAATGCCTAAGCTGCTTTCTGCTCTTAAGTTAGGAAATTATTGAAATTGTTTCAAAGAGTTAAATTAATTCATTATCATAAATAAGAAATTATTTATAGATCCCCTGCTATGGTTAGGCACTTAGCAGCAGCAGGATATAAAGACATAGTCCTTGATCTTCAAGGACTATAGAATCTAGAAGTCAAAAAGAAAAAGCTAAGCACTAGGGCAAAATTGACCGGTATTCACATGGTAACTGATACTTTGCAAAATCAAGAAGCTTTCAGATAAGCATTTCACTTTTTCTTCTCTTTAGCATCTCCAGAAAAGTTGAACTTTTTCTTGCAGAGTGCCATCCTTTAACAGGCCTTCTCCATCTGTTGTAAGATTCTCCTAATATCCATGTATCTATTCTGGCTGTCAGATAGTGCTTATTTAACAGCTTGTATAGTAAACAGAAAAATTATTTTAAATATTTCTTTTCAGGAAGACAGATAATCTGGTTTAGTATCATAAAGAGGTTGCTTGATCACCACTTCTGTAAATATCTCATTTTAATTATCTATTTTCTTCTCTATTCAGTGTAAAACCCCAGAATCACTTCTGGCAAGTCTTCCTGTTTATCTGGTACACCATTTAGCAAAAAACCCAATCCTGAATCTATTCCAAAGTCTAACTTAATGCTTGGGTAGCTAATCAAAGCTTGAGAAAATCACACAATTTTGTCTCGGCTAGACCTCCTATATTTATTCTTTGTTAACGTTCTTTCTCATTTCCTTCAATGGCTCTTTGAAATATATATTACTTTCCTCTTGCTACCTTTCACACAGAAGATGACCTTCTCTTTGTTTCACAGAAAAAAACAAAGTGGAATTCCATTTGATTAGTGCTTCCTCAAATCTATGCACATGGACAAACTTACGTATGTTTATACTACATTCTTACTTAGTTTCATCCTGTTTCTCTCGTAAACATATCCCATTATTCTATGCATTAATTAAGTCTCAGTTTGTCCTGTTTTGAGTAGTTGGAACTACCAGTGTGCATCACCACACCTGGCTGATTTATTTTCATTTTTTTTTTTTGTAGAGATGAGGTCTCACTGTGTTACTCAGGCTGGTCTCAACCTCCTAACCTCAAGAGATCCTCCCCCCTCAGCCTCCCAGAGTGCTGGGATTACAGGCATGCACCACAGTGCTTGGCCTTCAATTTGTCCTATCTTAAGCAGTTTCCCCTATCTCTTTAGTGCCTCCCATGCAATTGACTCTTCCCATGTAACTTAGAAATATGCTGACCTTTCAACTTCTTCAACCATATGTCTCTTTAAAAATCTGTGACCTCCCATTGCATTCAAGATGAGTATCCAAATTCTTAGTATAGCTCTCCATAACCTGGTCCCTAACAGTATCTCAGCCTTATTTCTTCACATTTTCTTTCTTATGTTTTTTGTCTAATTATATCAGATAATAAATAGAACCTCCAACTTACTATTAATGGAAATGCCCTTTGATTTGTCCTGTGCTATTTCCTCTGGAGTATTTCCTCTGGAAGACTGGAATACTTACTTTCTCCTTTATATGTCTAACTCCTATTTATTCTTTTTAAGACTCAAGTCTGAAGCCTCACCTGATCAGGCCTGCCCTTCAAAGTCTGGGTTTGATACCCATTCTCTATTCCATAGCATCCCATACATTCCTCCATTTTAGCATTATATTTTCTATTACCTTGTATTTTATAGTTTGAATTACCTTTCTGTCTGCCTCCAGCTTTAGACTGTGAGCTCTCTGACAAGGTACCATCCTTCCAGATCTCGCATATAGTATAATGTGAATGGCACCTCTGGAGGTGTTCAACACAGATTGCTGCCCCTTCTATATCTGCAGAGCCTAATTTAATTCTTGGCAATTTTAGGTTCTTTATATAAATAAGTAACTAATTTATTAGCATTTTCTTATATCCTTTGAATTTTTATAAACTGAATACAATCTTTAAAAAAAATAAGGCAACTGAAGTACTGAAAATTTCAATGATTTATAATATTTATTGGCACATGAATCATTGTGTTTTAATAAATGACAGGACCAATTTATGTATATTATAGTAGTAAGATATGTTCAAGTTTTAAGTGTAAACTTTACAAAGTGTGTTCTATAATGGAAGCCCAAATAAATAGTTGACAGAAAATACACTTAACTTTTATATTAATCTTGTAGATAAATCCCTTTTTGATGTGATTTTATAATTATCATTTGATGTATACTTTTAAACCTAGGTATGAGCACTTTTCTTCATGTCTTAGTCAAGTACTAGGTCTTCTTAATGGGAAGGATCCTGATTCTTCTTCAAAGGTATGTAAAAACATGACTTTTTATTTTAAACTTTTTACATGCTATAATATACAGAAAAATCTAAATGCACAGCTCTCTGAATTTTTACAAACTGAACACAGTCATGCAACTAGTGTCTAGATCAGGAAGTAGAACATTACTGGTACTCTAGAACCCTCCTTGTGCTCCCTTTTAATCAGGAACTAAACCCGTTTAGGAACCTACCCATTCCTATCCTCTACCCTTACCAGAGATAACCACTGTACTGACTTATAACAGCATCTTTTTTTCTATATTTGAGCTTTATGTAAATCATGATACATTTTATGTTTAGATTCTTATGTTCATTATTGTTATTAGATTCATTCATATTTCATATGGTTGTAGATTGGGGTTTTTTTTTAGACAGGAAGTAGGATTTGTTGGTGGGCATCAATAAAGAGGAAGCAGCACAGTGGAAGCCTTTGTGAGTGCAGACCCACCACTTGTCCAGGGAGCCACGATTGTGATGTATTTGACCCTACAGCTATCCAGGATGAGCCACTTCTCAGCCACCGTGTCTTCAAATTCACCCACATTAAACTTTGTAAAACCCCACTTCTTAGAGATGTGGATCTTCTGGCGTCCAGGGAAGGCGAACTTGGCCTTGCAGAGGACCTCAATTACATGCTTCTTGTTCTGCCACTTGGTGTGTTAATGGACATGATGACTTGCCCAATGTGAACTCTGTCCACCATGCCCTGGGGCTTTCCAAAGGCGCCTTGCCTACCTGCTTAATATCTAGATTGGGGATAGCATGAGATTAGAGACATGAATGCTATTTCCAAGGTCCCTTAGGACAACCTATATAAGCAACAGGTTGCATATGCTCCCAGGTGGCTGCTATTTGCAGCCATTGCACACCAGGCCACCACTAGGAAAGAAGCATATTTTTTGTTCTTTTGTTGGTGGATATTGGCTATTATGAAAAATACTGCATTTACCATTTTTTGCATGTTTTTTGGTGAGCATGTGGATGTGTTTTTCTTAGCTGTGTACCTAGGAATGGAATCACTGTGTCATGGGGTATACATATGTTCAGTGGACACCGAGAAACACTTTCCTGAAGGGGTCAGTTGTACCAATATGTGAAGATTTGGTCACTCTGCAGTCTTTCCAGCACTTGATATTTTCTATTTTTTTTCACTTTAGCCATTCTAATGGCTATATAGTAGTATTGCATTGTAGTTTAAATTTGTATTTCCTTAATGATACGTAAAGTTTAATATCTTTTTACATTTGTATATCCTCTTTGGTGAAGTGCCTGTTCATGTCTTTTGCTCATTCGTTTAATGTGTTGTCTTTCTCATTTATATGTAGGAGTTATTTTGGAGTCTTGATGGATATATACAATGCAAATATGTTCTTTCATTCTGTGAGTTGCCTTTTCACTCACCTAATGGTGTCTTAATTTTAATGTAGCTCAACTTATTCATCCTGTATGGTTGGCACTTTCTTTATCTCATTAAAAAAATCTTGGGCCTATTCTAAAATCACAAAGATGGACTCCTTTGTTTTCCTCTAAAAGTTTTATAGTTTTTTTTTAACTTGCACATGTAGATCTGTAATCCATCTTGAATTGATTTTTGTGTCTGTTGTGAAACAGAACTTTTTTATTAAGGCCAGACTTTATCTTACAAATTTTTGCAGAGGAAAAAAATTAGAATGGCTTTAAACTAATCATCTACAACATTGGATCTAAAAGATGGTAGAGGGGTTGAAATAGAACAAAGTTTGTTGCTCCCAAGTTTTCATTTTTTTCTGCATTAAGATCTTTGTTCTTGTTTGTTAACTACTTGCCAGAGTCTTCTCTGGAATATTTTCATTGGATGAAATACTTCGATAATATATGCTATGTATTTTGAACCTTAAAATGTTTAAAATTTTTTATATCCAATATGAAAACTATTCCTAATACCTAAATGGATCTTGATAGAGTGACTAGGAATTTGTAATATAAATGCTAAGTAAGGATTCTTGGGATAGAAGAAACATACAGAAAGGGAAAAACCTAATGATCTAATCCAAATGTATTAAACCATCTCAGGAAATTTAGAAGTTCAAGTAGGGCAAAGGAGTAGGAGCATTCCATAGGTATCAGAAAACCTTTAGGTTAATGGAGAAGTAAAAGTAAATAAATAAGAATTTAAAAATTAAAAAAATGTTTTTAAAGTAAAAAAACTCATGATAGAAGTGGGGAGCAGTGAAAACAAAAAGCATCTTGGTATGGAAGAAATAGTTGGATGTCTTTATATAGAATACCATACAAGTTTGTTTGATTATAAGGCAAATATAACCTTCATAACAAAACCTTACAAGGATAGTACACAAAAGGAAAATATAGATCAATATCTTTCATAAGCATATTGTAAAAATTCCAAATAAAATATTAGCAAATCAAAGTTAGTAATAGATAAAAAAGGATCATATCTCATTAGCAAATGAGATGTATTCCAGGAATGCAAAGTTGGTTTACATTTTAAAATTAATGTAATTTCTCATGTTAACACAAAAGAGCAGAAAAATCATATTTCATTAAAGAAAGAATAGCATTTAATAAAATTTAATACCCATTCTTGATAAAGGTCAGCAAATTAGAAATAAACAGAAACTTCCTTTCCCTGATATTAATTGCCAAAAATCTGCATCATCATTCTTAATGGAAAAGTATTCAAAGCTTTACTTCAGATTAGGAGTAAAGAATGTCCATTATCAGCAGTTGTGTTCAGCCTAGTATTGGTGGTCCCAACCAGACCAATAAGGCAAGAGAAATGAATAAAAGGCATAGGGATTGCAAAGGAAGAAACAAAACTTACTATTCAGTTAACATCATTGTGAATATAGAAAATCTAAAATAAATCTACAGAAATAATTATTAAAATTAAGTGAATCTATTTAGCAAGTTGACTAGTTACAAGATTAGTACCTATAGATATGTTTTTATTTATCTGTATTTTGGTGACAAATAGAAAATGAAATCTTTAAAATAATACCATTTACTAATTTTTTAAAATGTCATATATTTAAGGAATAAACCTAACAAAAAAATATGCAATGCCTCCACTTTGAAGTTAAAAACCATTGAGGAAAGACAAAACCTAATAAATATAGGATACAGCAAATTTATGGATTGGACAAATTTACAATATGAGGGCAATCAGAACTCAGCAGGTTTTAGTGGTTTTTGTATTTGTTTTGGCTTTGATGTATGTGGAAATTGCGAAGCTGATTATAAAACTTAATATGGATATGCAAAGGTCCACAATAACCAAGGCTTTCCTGAAAAAAGCCTGAACCAAGTGTTGAACAAAGTCTAAAGACTTATTCTACCAGATATTAAAACTTAATATAAAGTTACAGTAATGAAGAGAATGTAGTATTGTCATATGGGGAAAAAAAGCTGAATTTTGACGCCTACCTCACACTAAATACAAAAGTAAGTACAAGATAGGTTTTAGATCTAAATGTGAAAAGTAAAACAGTGAAGCTTTTAGAAGAAACATCTAACAGAGTATCTTCACAGCCTTGAGATAGGCAAATATTTTCTTAAACAGGAAATAAGGACTCACCATGCAGGAAAAAAGTTAATACATTAAAGTTAAATATTCTGTTCATGAAAAGACCACCAATAAGGAAATGAAAAGGCAACTCATAGAGTGGGAATAGATATCTACAATACATATATCTAACAAAGGACTCTTAAATATATTAGTTTTATTAAAAACTTGTATATATACATCTGAAAAAACATTGAGCCCAATAGATACCTGAACAAAAGGACTTGAATTGATCAATAAACATGAAGTGGTTCTTCAACTTTATTAACTATATTTATAACTTTATTAACTATATTTATTTAACTATTATAACTTCAACCTTATAACTATATTTCAGGAAAATGCAAATTTAAATGGTAATGTAATATCACTACACACCCACCAGGTAGATGATTAAAGTGAAAAATATGGAAAATGACAAACATACCTTAACTCTCATACGGTACTCATAGTGCAAGTTATAAAAATTGGTATGATCTACTAATCTTGGGCATGTACATAAATTATGACCCAGCAATTCCACTTTTAGGTGTTTACCCCAAAGAATTAGATACATATGTTCACAAAAAGACATATAAAACATAGCAGTACTGCTCCTGATATCTAAGAATTATAGACAACCCAAATGCCATCAACAATGGAATGGATAAACTATGGTGTTAACTTATGAGAATGAAGAAAATGAAACTGCATGCCATAACATGGATGAATCTCACATAACGTGAAGCTAAAGAAGCCAGACATTAGAGTATACATTATAAGATTATATAAAGTTCCATGTGAGTTTCTTTGTATAAACTTGCAAGCTGACTGAAAAATTTATAGGGAAATACAAAGATTCAAGAATAGGCAAGATAAAATTAATCTATGGTGTCAGAAATCTAGTGGAGAAGAGTGATTGGGCAATGTATAGGAGGAGACACAAAGGGTCCTAGAGTTTTGGTACAGTTCTCTTTCTTGATGTGTTTGCTAGTTACACAGGTGTGTTAGTTTTGGGAAAATCATCTAGCTTTGCACTAGTGATTAACTTGTTTACATTTGTGTATGCTTGTGATCAGAAAACTAATGTACATGGAAAACTATCTGCTTGTATGTGTATAATGGATCTCTCTGGTAAGATACACAAGAAACTGATAACATTGCTTGCCTCCAGGGAGTGTAACCAGAGGTCAGGGTTTGACTTTGGAACATGTGAATGTATTACCTATTCAAAAACAAGTACAGTCATGCACCGCATAACAACTTCTCAGTCAACAACTGATTGCATATGCAATGGTCCCTTAAGATTATAATGAAGTTGAAAAATTCTCATCACTTAGTGACATCGTGGCCATTGTAACATAGTAGTGCAACATACTACTCATGTTTGTGGTGATGTTGGTATAATCAAACCTGTGCTCCCAGTCATATAAAAGTATAGCATGTACAATTATAAATAGTACATAATACTTGAAAATGATAATAAACACTGTTATTGGTTTATATATTTACTATACTTTTTATTATTATTATTTTAGAATGTACTCCTACTTATTTAGAGGAAGAAAAAAAGGTTAACTATGAAACAGCCTCAGGCAGGTCCTTCAAGGAGGTATTCCAGAAGAAGGGATTCATTATTACTGTAGGAAATGACAACTCCCTGTGTGTTATTGCCCCTGAAGACCTTCTGAAATATAGTGATATTGATGATTCTGACCCTGTGTAGGCCTAGGCTGATATGTATGTTGTATCTTAGTTTTTAACAAAAAAGTTTAAAAAGTAAAACAAAAATATGTTAAATAGAATGGAAAAATAAGCACCACATGTATTCACCAGCAAATTGGTATTAACTGATCAACACCTAAGTAGATATATAGGAATAACATTTATCAGGTGTTGGGTAGGTAGTGGGGAGAGGGATAGGTATATACATACATAATGAATGTGATGCACACCAACTGGGGGATGGACACGCTTGAACCTCTGGGGGGGGGGCAAGGGCAATATATGTAACCTTAACATTTATACCCTCACAATATGCTGGGAAAAAAAAATATGTTAAATACAAAAAAGCTTATAGAATAATTAAGATATAAAGAAAGAAAAATTTTACAGCTGTATAATGTGTTTGTGTTTTAAGCTGTGTTATTGCAAAAGAGTAAAAAATTTTAAAAGGGGAAAAGCTTATACAGTAAAAAAGTTATAGTAAGCTAAGGTTAATTTACTATTAAAAAAATGTTTAGACACTTAGTGTAGCAAAAGTGTACAGTGTTTAACATCTACAGTAATGCATAATAATGTTTTAGCCCTTCACATTCCCTCACTACTCACTCACTGACTTACCCAGAGCAACTTCTAGTCCTGCAAGCTCCATTCACGATAAGTACCCAGTACCAGTGTACCTTTTACTGTGAATTTTCTATGTTGAGGTATGTTCAGATACACAAATACTTACCATTGTGTTACATTGTCTACTGTATTAATGTAATAACATACTATTCTGGTTTGTAGCCTAGAAGCAATGGGCTATTAAGCCTAGGTGTGTGGTATATGTCATCTAGGTTTGTGTAAGTATACTTAGATGTTCGAACAACTATGAAATCACCTAACAATGTGTTTTTCAGAATGTGTCTTTAAGCAACATGACTGTACTACAATTTATATTTAAAGGAATAAATTAAAAATTGTTCATCATTTGTTATAGTAAATACTAATGGGCCCCCAGTCTGTTAAAATCAGATACTGTCAAGTTTATGAAACACAAATCCTAATTATATGTCATTTGCAAGAAACAGATTTTAAAAAGGCTGGAAAAATAAAAATAAAGTAGATGGGCAAAGAATTACCAAGAAACGATTTTTTAAAATGATAGATTGGTAATATATGAAATATGATAAGATTGAATTTAACATCTAATTAACAGGTTGATATGGGATGTTGTATCATAGTATGTTGCCCGATTTATAAAGTAGAGAAGAAATGGGGTTCAATAGGGGAAATATGGGTCTCGACAGCAGTGTGCAAACATAGTGTAGAAGTAGCCATTCTTAAGATTTTAAAGTTTTGGGATGCCACTTATGTCTTATCACTGTGTGCTTAATAGCAATTCTGGAATTTTAGGATTATGGCAAGTATTCTTTTTTTTTGTTTTTTAGCGTATTATGGGGGTACAAATGTTAAGGTTACATATATTGCCCATGCCCTGCCTCCCCCCCTTGAGTAAGAGCTTCAAGTGTGTCCATCCCCCAAACGTTATACATCTTACTCATGGTGGTAGTATATACCCATCCCCTCTTCCCCTCTCCCACCCTCCTGACACCTGGAAATGTTACTCCTATATGTCCACTTAGGTGTTGGTCCGTTAATACCAATTTTCTGGTGAGTACATGTGCTTGTTTTTCCATTCTTGAGATACTTCACTTAGTAGAATGGGTTCCAGCAGTATCCAGGAATATACAAGAGGTGCTATACCACCGTTGTTTCTTAAGGCTGAATAGTACTCCATGGTATACATATACCACATTTTATTAATCCACTCATGAATTGATGGGCACTTGGGTTTTTTCCACAGCTTTGCAATTGTGACTTGTGCTGGGATTATAGCAAGTATTCTTAATTCTAATATTAATTTTTAATGTTTTTATCATTTTAAAAACAAAATATATTTGTGTTTTTTAAAATGTTAAGTACTATGGAAGAAGTATAACTTCCATTGAAGTTGCCCTTTTCTCTGTGGTTATCACAGTCTTCCTTATCAGAGGTAAGCACCATTAACAAATTTCTTTAACCTTCTGGAACCTAATCACACATTTGAAAAATAACATTGAAAGAAAAATTGGAAGCTACTTTTAAGTTTTGTTTTAGGTAAATATATCACATTTTCAGTTTCATTGTATGCTTGCTTTGTGTATTAAAGTCCAGTGAAATTGACATTTAATGAAGCCTTTATATTATACAGGTTTTAGAATTACTTCTTGCCTTCTGTTCAGTGACTCAGCTACGGCATGTGCTCACTCAGATGATGTTTGAACACTCTCCATCTGGCAACATTCTGGGAAACCGTTCTAAATGTTTAGAACCTACTGTGGCTCTACTTCGTTGGTTAAGCCAACCTTTGGACGGATCAGAAAACTGTTCTGTTTTAGCATTGGAATTATTCAAGGAATTGTTTGAGGTAATAGGATGATATAGAATTGACTTTTCTACTTTCATGACTCCCAGTTAATTTGTTTTCAAAAACATAGTAAACTTCCAATTATTCATACACTTGAGGAAAACTTCTCAATTACTAACAGAATACTAGACTCCCTATCATGCAGCTACTGAGGTGTTTTCTGCCAAAGTCACAGATATTAGTGTTTTCCCTTTTTTCACTGAATAGCCTATGTATAGAGTATTAGTAAAGGTATTGACAAGATTTGTGTGGTTGTATAACTATACTTGCAGCAGTCATATTCTCTACATCTCAGTAGATGCTGTCCAATGCCTTTATTAGGCTGTTGAGTGGATTAATATGGGAATATTGGATTTGGTAAGTGAAATAGAGTAGAGCATGCCAAACGTAAGTGCTAGGCATTTAAGATACAATAAAAATCTCTACATTCTAATAGATTTTACTATCTTGGCAATTTAGCATTCTCTGCCATTTTCCCTGTTTTTATACACATTCTGCCTACTGCAGTGTCTTTCTAAAATATTTCACCCCTTATAACTGGATCCTATGCACAAACAGATATGTGTATGAGTGATTAAGTATGTTTATTAAGGATTATATGCAAATTATTCTTTATATTTTATCTTAGTCTTGACTTTTCACAATCAGTTTTAGCATTTAAAAAGCCCTTTGAAATTCTTGATGTAAATTATTTGTGGTTGTAAACTATTAAAACCAATGTCTATTATTTAATTGTTATAATTGCATTTAGCAAATTCAGGATATTTTCAGTAAATACTTTTGGTTTAGAATAATTTTAAATCATATAGTCCATCAAAAGAATGTCTTGCTTGTAAAACTTTACAGTTTGAGAAAAAAACATAATAGCCCTGAAAATTGAATAAAAGGGTAAATTTTAAATAACAATTATTAAGTGGGAGACTCAGGTCAATGAAGTAGTGAAGTAAGTGTAAAAAATGTAAGAGGTGTTACAGTTCAACAATGACTGTCTCTGCATTCTATATTTCATCTTTAATCATTGGTGATGGTTAATTCTCCAGGATGTCATAGACACTGCTAACTGTCCAGCAGCTGACCATTTTGTGACCCTTCTGCTGCCTACAATCCTTGATCAGCTTCAGTTCACAGAACAAAATCTAGATGAAGCCTTAATAAGAAAAAAATGTGAAAGGATGGTCAGGTCCATTGAAGTTTTGTTAAATATCCTTTACTGTCATAAATGTGAAAACAATATAAATAACCATTCTTTTTATTCTAGTATTACATTTGCTGCATTTTGTTTTTATTTGTAATTTTTTCACTTACATCTATTCAGAATTATTGAACTAAAATTTAAACTATAGAAAAAAATTTCAATAAAGATCCTAAAAAAGTTATCTAGATATTTCCCCCTTATTTTTCTGTGAAAACTTTTAAGCTAAAGTATGTTTTAAGAAATGCTTTTGAAATTTGAGATGAACATTTTTATCACAATTTGAAATTTGGAGGTATATTCTGAGATGACTATTTCGTTACTCTTTTCTGTTTTTGATGCTAATTATTGCCCCTGATGATTAGTTGTGCCATTTTTTGGTGGAGTGAATTAGCAGGTCAAGAAATATTGATAGAGTTGTTATGATTTTAGATCAGCTTTTTAGCTTCTGTTTTAAAAAATAAAAGCCTCCATAATTGTTGTAATAATGATGATATTACACTTGCTTATTTAAGAAACAAATATATCAATACAAATAAATTCATTTTAAAAGAAAAGAAAACTGAACAATTAGTGTTGCTGCTTAAGTTCCATGTATTGATATATTAGGTCTTTCCCTGTGTTCCTCTTTTTCTGGATCAACTGATTCTGAGTTGGTAAGACATGCAAGGCCTAATTTTTAAATATTTCATTAATATTTTTTAACTATAAGAAAGGAGTCACTATATCTCAACCAGATCTCTTAAATTTACCTGGTCAGATTTCCCTGTATAATAGACCAACAAGAATATGCCCAACTTTGTCCTGTCTTAGAGCAAACTCCACCTCTGTTTAATCTCCTCTGTAAGCTGCTACTCCTTAATTTCCCTCTTTCTTTATAGCAGTGACTTTCAACCCTGGCTTCATATTAAAATCACCTAGGAAACATGTAAAAATTTTGATGCTGGAACCTTCCAGAGATTCTAATTTAATTGGAGTAATGTAAAACCCCGAAATCAATAGATGGTGTGTGTTTGTGTGTTGTTTTTTTGTTTGTCATTGTTTAGAGTGCCCAGGTGATTCTAACATGTTGCCAAAGTTGAGAACCACTACAGTAGAGACACATGATTACTTTTCTTGACCTTAGAGATATTTATAATTAATTTGGTGGGGCCTTCTCACTGAATCATGCTATAACTTGGCCTTTTTAAATGATAGCTGCAAGGGCCAGGCAGAAGGATCAATTGACGTAAAGAGTTCAAGACGATATACAAAATATGAGAAAACAACTTCCCTTAATTCAACAAATATTTATTGAACCATTCTGATCCATGCTAACGACAAATGAGCATCCAGTGGAGAAACATCCTTTCTCTGTTTTACCCTTGAGTCAGAAACTTTTAGTGCCAGTCCATCTTTTGCCACTTACCAGTCAGTTAAATAGTTTGAGCACCAGTTTCCTACTCTGTCATTGAGCTAATGTAACAGTTTATACCAGACTGCAGTGATGACATGATTTGTATGAAATCATCCTGAATGTTATGAAGTATTTTACAAATATAAAGTATTTTGAAAATTTTTTGTTTGTATATCTTAACAAAACTTACCTCTGTGTGGAGATGATACTCTGAAAATGCATATTGCAAAAATTCTGACTACTATGAAATGTACCACTCTGATAGAACAACAATTTACATATGGCAAGATTGACCTGGGGTTTGGAACAAAGGTAGCAGATTCTGAATTATGGTGAGTATATGAAACTTAGTGGCAAAGGGTCAAGGCAATAAAATCAAATGATTCCATTATTCTCATTCCTTTTGGAGGATCATCTTTGGGTTATAGTCTGTTAACTCAAAGTATGGCAGAGAAATAATAAAAATATATTGATAATGGATTTTTTTAAAATTCATTTAATTTCTAGATTGTGTGCCTCTGAAGAAAAGTATTAACATCTGTGATTTGTATTGTTTATGTCATAATTGTCAGTGATCATGCTCCTCGAGAGTAAGGATTATCTCTTTTTACTTTTTTGTTCTCCCTTTCAAGTGCAAAGCTAATAACATGGCCTAGTATATAATTCATTCACTACATATTAGATATTCCATATTGCTTAAAGTTACCCCCTATTGTTATGCCAATGCCAAAGCTAAGAATTAAATGGTTTATGTTCCAGTACTACTGCTTATTTGAAGCAGTAAGATGAAGCATGTTGGTATTTGAGAGTAGAGAAAGAAATACTCTTTAAACTTAGACTATTAATGCCAGTTTGTTGTCTTTGGGTCTTGATTTATAAAACTTATTGATCTCTGTGATTTTTTTACTTGTCAACAGAAATAATACTTTACCTTCTTGAGTTTTAAAAACAAAAGTATGGGTTTTTTTCCATGTTCAGTAGAATTATGGACAGACATAAGCTGTAAGAAATTTTTGAGTTATCTAATTTAGATATGACTTATTTTTAAAGCAAACTTGCTGCTGATGTGGTTTTGAAAACTCTCAATTTGATGAACAAACTTAAACAGTTGGTTCCTGGTATGGAAGTAAGCTTCTACAAAATCCTTCAGGTAAGTTTAAACTCCTTTATATGTAAATGTTCCTAATGTATAAGTTTGTGTTTTAATAGATGTTTTTTGTGTTTAGAAGATGTTTCTCTTAGAATTGGCCATCAGAAGAAAGTTTAAAGTTTTAATTGTCTTAAGTAGTTATAATAATCTTATTGCAGAGTTATTTGAGGTAGTTTCACAGGAATTGAACATAAGTGCTCCTGATTCTAATGTACAGAATGTTCTCAGTGGTGCTGCTTCCTCAACCTTTTTCTTTCTTGTGTAATACTTGCAAGTTTTTTCATTTGTTTCTGTTGGCATTGAGGGAAGAGTGGTATTTGTTTTGGGGTTTTGTTTTTGATCAGGGTTGATGAGGCACAGTACTAGGGGATAGGGAGACATCTAAAAGAAAGAGACTTGATTGTGAGTGATAATAAGATTAGAGGAGGTGTGCAGAAAATGGCTAACTCGCAAATTTCAATGATAATAATAGGTGAATTAGAGTTCTAGAATTAGAGTTCTATCAAAAGACAAATTTACAATGAATTTAGTCTAAAGATCTAATTGGTTTTTATTTGTGATTCTAGAAGCAAGCAACTTCATTCTATAAAATAGAATAAATTGTTCTGATAAGTGAAGCAGAGGAGGTTGGCTTGATAGACAAGGGCTAAAGAAAGCAGAAGGATTTGTTTTTTCAAAGTTACTTTCTTTACAGGATTAAAACAGGGGGGACTTCCTTATTACAGTGACTCAGGTTGACTAAAATCTCCTGTGTGGTTTTTGTTTTTGTTTTTGTTTTTTTAAAACTAGCCCATTTTAAAGTACAGGAGGCTAGTCTAAAACAATGGCTGCCTATAAACTTTGTTTAACAGTATCTACCTTGATATCTACAACACTTGCCTTATAATAGGTATTTAACAAAAATATGTGAATTACATTATTACAGTAAAAAATTATAGTGAAATTATATAGCAAAAAATTACATTATATAGTAAAAAATTACATTGTTATAGTAATTAGCAGAGATGGCTCTAGTGTCTACAGACAGGGTAAAAGCCAAAACTGAAACCTTAATCAGGGGCCACTTAGATGCTTTAAGAGCATTATGCTTAAGAGATTGGGTTCCAAATGTTGATTCTACTAATAGTTAGTCAATGCAGGCTTAAGTAAGATATTTTGCTTGGCTAAACTTCAGTTTCCTTGACTACAAACTGGAAATAATGATTCTTCTCCATGGGAGGAGTTATGAAGTGTGACCATTGGGGGCTTCGGAGATAAAGTCCTGTACTTATCATATTTCTGTGGCATTGGATTATACTTGAGTGCCTGCAAGGCACTTGACATTTTAATTATAAAGAATTTAGAGCATGTACCCAAAGGAACAAAGGATATTCTGTGAAAAAGACATCTGCACTTAAATGTTTATAGCAGCACAATTCACAGTTGCAAAGATGTGGAAACAACCCAAGTGCCCATCAGTATATGAGTGGATTAATAAAATGTAGTATATGTATGCCATGTACTATTCAGCTATAAGAAACAATGGTGATATAGCACCTCTTGTATTTTCCTGGATAGAGCTGGAATCCATTCTACTAAGTGAAGTATCCCAAGAATGGAAAAATAAGCACCACATGTACTTATCATCAAATTGGTTTTAACTGATAAACACCTAAGTGCACATATAGGAATAACATTCATCAGGCATCAGGCAGATGGGAGGGGGGAGGAGGAAATGAGATGGGTATATACATACATAATGAGTGCGATGAGCACCGTCTGGGGAATGGACACACTTGAAGCTCTGACTCGGCGGGAAGGGGGAGCAAGGGCATTATACATAACCTAAACATTTGTACCCCCATAATGTGCTGAAATAAGAAAATAAAGAAAGAATTTATGTTTTAATATTTTCTTTACTAACAACTTAATGCATTTTTTAAAAAATTGAGCCAAGCTTATTTTATCTCAATACTTAGGAGATACTTTTCATAGTAGAAGGTAAGCATCCCTCAGTTGAAAATCTGAAATCCAAGATGCTCCAAAATTCAAAACTTGTTGAGCATCATATAACACTCAAAACAAATGTTCATAGGAACATTTCAGATTTTGGATTTTCACATTAGGGATGCTCAACTGCTAAGTATATAGAGATACTCCAAAAAAAAAAAAATGCAAACTTTGAAACACTTCTGATCCCAGGCATTTCAGATAAGATATGCATAACCTGAAGATGATTTGAGTCTTAACAGTACTAATATAAAATATTTACTGCCATGAAGGACTTGAAGTAAGTATATTGTTTCAATCTTTAAATTCTCTGATTTGAGTTCATTCTATCTTTACTTTTTATTTCATGGCTTTAATTTGGAAATGATTAGCCATTTTTTAAGTTTTTCTTTTAAACGGTAGCTTGAAAAATTAAACAATTATAAACATCAGTCAGTTGTGGATGATATTTTAAATCCATCAAAATATGTAAGGCATAATTTTCATAGGCACACTTGAAAGCATTTAAAATCTTGGCCAAATTTTTTTAAAGCTACTATGTTCATATTGATTGCATGGCACTGTAAACACCTATTCAGCTATAAAAAAGTAAAGACTAATAATACATTCAAACATCAGAAACACTTTAGAATTTGCCTAGAATTATTTTATGATTTAGCTCTGTTTACTTACAGACTTTACTCTGAAAGACCTGACATTGTTTATTCTTTCTGTCTTTCTTTTCTGGTTTGTGATTTGTTTAGGATCCACGTTTGATTACTCCTTTGGCTTTTGCTTTAACATCAGATAATAGAGAACAAGTGCAGTCTGGACTGGGAATATTATTGGAAGCTGCTCCACTGCCAGATTTCCCTGCTTTAGTGTAAGTTGTAATCATTTGGAGTGTATCTCTTGTGGTGTTGAGATACCCTGCTGTGTGTCTTTGGTCCTCAATATAAATGTGAATTGAAGACTTCATTGTAATAGTAATCTTTTAAATGATTGAAAAAAATTTTTATTTGATTCCTATAAATGAAAAGTCCAGATATACTCAGGGAAAAGCTAGATCCAGTAGTTAAGCGTTATCCAGGTACTATCCCTCTTTGTTTCTTGCCACCTCTTTTTAATGATAGCCTCTGGACACTCAATGCTTATATCCTACCAGTTTAGTTCTTCCACAGAAAGAGCTTTTCCTTCCTGATTATTTAAGTGAAAGGTTTAAGCATCACTTTCATTGACCAGATCTGGATCATTTGCTAAGGGGTCAGATATTATATGAGAACTACATGGATGAAAGTTAGTTGGTATAGTGAACAGGGAGAGTTCCTAAAGAAAGAAATCTGCTTTCATCAGGAAGTGGAATAAATGATGGCTGGGCAAAATTTTCTACATTCATTAATTTCGAACAATAGGAGAATATTTGTAATTATGTTTGCAAAAAATTTCAGGTTTCCAAGGCTCTCTATAAACCAGATGGTTAGCAAAATGTCTATTAGGCTTCTACTTTAATTATTTTTTAAAAATTTAAGTGGTTTATATAAATGAATTTATAAATTTACAAAATAATTTGTAAAATAATTTGAAGCAATTGATAAATAAGTAACACATTCCATATCTGTTGGGGTCAGCAAACCGACCAGTGGACAGATGCCTATTTTTGTAAATAGTTTTATTAGAACAAGGCTGTACCCACTGATTTTCATATTATCTGTATTTCTATGCTGCTTTCACTTTATAACAGCAAGGTTGAATAATTATAACAGTCCATATAGGCCCTTGAGCCTAAAATATTTACTATAATGTCTTGTAAGAAAAAGTCTGCTAAGGCATGCTATGCCATTCATTGATTTAGCAATACTGTTTTTCAGAATTAATAACTTGAGTAGTCATAAATTAAGAATTAAAGAACTACAGATGCAAGACCTAGAGACCACATAAATAAAATTTCCTTCATTTTATAATAAATATTTTTTTTTAACAAAAAAAATTGATAAATAGGAAGCTTTTTAAGTTGTAAGATAGAAGTGGTCTGTGAAGCTGCTCCATTTTTGTGGTGGCTTACTTGCTTCAACTATACCAATCTGACATGAAGCAAAACCCCAAAGCTTCAGAGAGGAAAGCTATAGCCTCATCTCACTGTACATGGGAGTCTCATCCTCTGCCTCTGTATGTGAGGCCTTCCCTATCTTATTTGTATTGTAGATAATTTTCTTTGGGGGTACTATGTCTGGTGCCCATTTTTGCTTATATTTAATATCCTTATTTGACATTATCTTAGGCAGTTCAATAAGGTGAATTATATGATGGATGTATCAGTAGGTAGGATTTTTTGTGTATTTGCTTTTTTGTTTTATTTAAACATTTAACAAATGGGGTGAGGGCTACCAGCCCTTCTAGACATTTTGGATGTTGTAGTAAATTAGATAAGGTGCCATGAGATTTGTACTCTAGTTGGGAGATAAGTTAAAATTTTTTTTTCATATTTTACACATCATTATGGGGACGAGGGGCAGTTAATATTAGTATTATATAAGACATTAGGGATGGCCTCTCTGAGAACGTGGATTTGAACTCAGAAGGAGGAGGAACCAGCCAATACAGATCTCATAAGAAAGAGTGTTGTTCCAGGTAAAGGAACAGCTCCTATGATGGTCCTGGGGCAGGAGAAAGATGGGATTTTTAAAGGGACAGAATGGAAGTCAGGTTGGTGTGAACTTACTGAATGAGAAAGATAAAGGTCTAAGGGCATAAAGGCCAGATGATGTCACCCATGATAAAAAGGTTGCTCTGACCAAAACTAATAACTCCGTTCTTATTATAAATAAACCAAACTCACAAGCTAGTTTTACAGTGCTTCCAATCCAGAGGCAGAGGTGTCATAATAAAGGATTGCAAGTAGAAAAAAATGGGTCCTCTGGAAAATTTAGAACATTGCCCAAACCTCTGTTTCATCGTGGTCTCCAAGAGAATTACTTCAAGATTATTTTCAGACTTCTATTCCAAAAAAAGGAAAAGACCCATTAAAAGATTCCCTAATTCTACACTAACTCTGCCTTTTACTCTATTTTTTATGTAATTTTTTTTTTTCTTTTTGAATACCATCCAGACTTGGAGAAAGTATAGCAGCGAACAATGCCTATAGACAACAGGAAACAGAACATATGCCCAGAAGAGTTCCTTTGCAATCATTAAATCACAGTTTTCCAACATCAGTAAAATGTTTAACTCCTCCTCTTTTGAAAGATAGCATTCCTGGATTGAACATTGAGGAATTAATAGAAAAACTTCAATCAGGAGTGGTGGTGAGTGAAAAATAGCAATTATAAATGGGATTGTACCTGGTACATACCAGCTATATGTCAGCCCTGATTATAACATTTATTTAAACTTGAAATGCAGGTTTCATTATTGAAATCTTATCTTTTAATCTTAAAAATAACAATATTCTTGAAAGTTTGGAAAGAAAGGAAGAAAAATAAGTCATTAAATCTCAACATTTAACACAGCTATCATTCTTTCCCTAGTCCTTCCTCCCACCCAGGTTAAGAAATATTTTTAAAATTTTTCACAAGCACACCAAATTTTACCCAGATATTCTTCTGCAGTAGCCAGGTTAGTGAAATATTGGTGACCCACCTGATAGAGCATTTATTTCTTTTTACTTTGTTACTCATCATTAAATTTCAATGATTTAATTTCAAAGTGGGCATTTATTTTATTTTGTCAAGTGTTAAAATGTTCTGTTTTTTTACTCTATGAAAACCTAGGTAAAGGACCAGATTAATGATGTGAGAATATCTGACATAATGGATGTATATGAGATGAAGCTGTCCACATTAGCTGTGAGTACAAGCTTATTTTAACTATGTGTAATAAGCTTTAATAGATGTTTTCCTAAAATGATGAAAATTAATGGTATGTTTTCTTATAGTCCAAAGAAAGCAGGCTACAAGATCTCTTGGAAGCAAAAGCTCTAGCCCTTGCCCAGGCAGATAGACTGATTGCTCAGTATCGCTGCCAAAGAACTCAAGCTGAGACAGAGGTATGCACAATATACAGACATGTCTGATTAGTAGAAAAAGTAATAAATGAAGTAAAATATGTATAAAATATTAGTTATATATTTGTTACTCTAATTGAAGTAAATTGTCCTTAGCATGTGACACGACTACTGCCTCCATCTTGAAACTCTGTCTTTAATTTTGGTTACATCATTATCTTCTGATTTTTTTTTTCCTACTTAACTGATATTCTTTTCCCATGTCATTTATGGTGTACCTTTAAATGTTGGAGGTTCCCAGGATGTCTTCTAAGCCCTTTTCCATTATTTCTGTGTTATGTGATTTCAACCATTATCAAAAGGTTAATATTCCCAATTTTATATGCTGAGCACAGATCATTTTCCTGAGCACCAAATGCTTCCTATAGCTCCATTTAAATATACAGCAAATATTTCAAACTACTCAGCATAACCAATAATGACCTAATCACTCTTCCCTTTTTAAAAATTTATTTTTATGTATTCCCTCTACTATTTTTAGTTTTCCAAATCAGAAACCTGGAAATCATAGTTTACCTCCTATAATTATTCACCAAGTCCAGTTGATTCTACCTTCTAAATATTTCTCTTTTTCTGCCTTGTCTCTATTTCTACCACTATTTGCTATAGGTCAAATCCTTTTCATTTTTCATAGAGATCACAGCAGATCCTCTAATTTCTCTTCCTACCTTTAGTCTAGTTCCTTTTTGTCACCTACCCTCCACACTACAGCCAAAGTCATCTTTCTTCTGTGTTTGGTTCTAGCCTACCTCCCCCAGGGATCTCTGAGGCAGTAAGTAATCTGACGCTGTCACTCCTTTGCTGAATATCCTTTACAGTAGCTGCCATTGCTTTTGGAATATCATTACAGTTTCTTAATTTGGATACAAGGATTCTAACAATGCACTTCTCAATCCACGTCTTGAATTTTTGCTCATTCTTTGCAGTCAGCCATATCATGCTACTTTGCATTTTCTGGAACTTGCCATACTCTTGTGTTTCCCTGTCTTTGCACTTGCTATGCCATGTCTGGAACACTTTTTCCTCTTGGTCTTTTCCTAACTTCTTATGATCCTTTAAATTTCAGCTTACTTGCTTCCATTTTCCAGAAGCTTACTTTGTTCGCTTCCTCCTCACACATATGTCCTTCCTCTTTGTACCTACCCTGTGCTTACCTCTTTATAATATTTCTCAGACCATATGAAAACCATATTGCCTGCCACCCCCACGCATAGTGTCAGAGACTGTTTCTATGTCTTCAGGTACAGTATTTAGCACATAGTAGGTGCCCAATAAATTTAATGTTATGCTATGTAGATAAATATACATGGTGTGGGAGTGTGTGTGTGTGTGTGTGTGTGTGTGTATCTTATGAGCGAAAACTGCAGTAATATGAAATTCCCAGCAGATACAAACGGAATCTATATAATTTGATACCATTTGTAATGAATTATAATAAAGTTATCGGGTCTTTGAAAGAGGCATCAAAACCAGTGACAAGTAAAATACATTTTAAGTCTTTTTCAGAATAAAAGTATTCAAAAAATATAAAGAAATACAACCATATTTAATATGATTTCATTTATCTCAACTGGTATGTTGAATTTATCATAAATTCTAAGAGAGAAAATTGGTGATATTAAAATCATTTTTCTCTCTCCTGTCATGGCACATTCTTATATTTTGTGTCTTTTGGACATGTCGTGCATTTTGTTAGAAAATGTAATGTTTTGTCCATACGACTGGAAAAGCTTATAATAAAAAAACACTAAATAATTGGGTGTTACCTCTTTATAGTCTATGTCATAAAAACAGAGAAGGGCTTGGGGTTTCATTGATATTTTTTTTAAGTAGAATTTTTAAGACTAAAGGGGTGGGAGGAATCCACTTCTTATTCTAGTTACTTTTCTGCTTTTTATTGTTTCATGCCACGCATTAAATATATACAGATGTAGGTTGTGGTTCCTGATTATGCTAGCTTAATTTTAAGAGTTCAGTTAAGCATCTGTGATGTAGTTAAGATGTTTTTCTTAATTCTTACGCAAAATGGGAAAGCTGATGTGTACATAATCAGGTGGTTTAGTGTTAATGGTTACTCTCAAGGACCATACCCTTTTAATTGAGTACTGTGTGTATAGCTACCTTTGTGTTGCTCCAGTTTTATTCATTTCCATTAGTCTGGTCTTAATAACATTGTTTTTGTCAGATAGTCCATTAAATAAAAAACTATAACAGTATCTGATTTATTGGAAGCATTAATAGTTAAGTAATAAGTATATTATTATGACTAAAGACAACTTTGCATAACCCAATAGATGTTAGTCTATTCGATATTTAGTAAACCTTTTAAATTGTAGAAACTTGAAAGTATTATATAAATGATAGTGGGGAAGTCTGTGTTATTTTTATTTTTTAAGGCACGGACACTTGCTGGTATGTTGAGAGAAGTTGAGAGAAAAAATGAAGAACTTAGTGTTTTGCTGAAGTCACAACAGACTGAATCAGAGAGAGCCCAGAGTGATATTGAACAACTCTTTCAACATAATAGAAAGTTAGAGTCTGTGGCTGAAGAACATGAAATATTGACAAAGTCTTACATGGAACTTCTTCAGAGGTAAAGAAACTAAAAGTTTCTGTCTAAGGTTAAAATCTGGAATGAACACACAGTGTTTCTTTTCTGTGACCCTAAAATCCTTTTGTAAGCATTTCATATATTCCCTTAATATAAGGTAAGAAGTTAGCAAGAAACTTAAGTCATAGTGAAATGACGTATTTTTTCCTCAAACTCAGTTATCATCTCAGTTGGAAACAAAATAAAGGTTTCTTCATTTCTTCTAGTTTACTTCTTTTATTTATTCATACAGTTACCAGTCATTTTGGATATAAGCTCCACCAAGACATGTTGTCTTTGTCCATTTGATCACTTACCAATCCCGAGGGCCTACAAGAGTGCTTGATACATACTTAGGCACTCTCTTAATAACTGTTGAATGAACTTAGTTGTTGTCACAATTAGTATTAGTTTGAATTGGTCATTCCTACAGATCAAAAGTAGTTGAATATTGGCAATTTCATATTATTCATACTAATAACATGGAATTTAGGTAATAGTGTATGACTCATCTCTGAATGTCATTGAATATAGTTTACTTATATGTGTGACTATATCTGTAGAATAAGTTTTTCTAGGTGAATTGCTGGGTAAAATGGTATGTGCATTTAACATTTTTATAGATATTTTCAAACTGCCCTTTAAAAAGTTTATGCAGATTGAGTATCCCTTATCCTTTGAGCATCATATTGGCACTGAAAAAGTCTCAGATTGCAGAGTATTCAGATTTCGGTTTTTTGGATTAGGGATGCTCAGCTTGTACAAATTTATTTGCCTACTAACAAAGTTTCATTGGTTTTTCATCCTTTATCAAACTCTTTTGCCTTTTAGGACAGTTTTAAAACTTCTGAATTACAAGGAAGACCAGGGACAATTATGTATTTTCTACCAAAAATTAAAGTAAAAACACTTTGGGGAACTTGTTTATTGTTTTAATTTATATTTTAAAATTGCTCTATACTATTAAGGTAGAGATGTAGACATTTTTAACTTTGCATAGTACATGTACTTAATTGCCCATCAATAAAAATGAAGGTGAGAAAATGAATCACATCTAGAAAATTCGTGATGACAAGGTGATTTCTAAACAGGATATTTTCCCCAACAACAACTTTGTTTACAAAGTCTGATTGATTGATGCACCACTGATAAAATATACCATTAGTGATAAGTTGGGTTGAGAACCTAGGCAGTGAATGTAGAGAATGAAGAGAATGTAGCCAGTGGTCCAAGAGAAATACTGGTTTCTGCTTATGTTTTAGAACCTGCTTATGTTTTAGATAGTGATTTAGAAGCCAAAACAGAAAAGTCCTTGAATGGCCAGAGGGATAACAAATAAATGAAGCTGACTGGGGAATGGGGAAGTTCATTTGTAATGGGTAGACAGTCTAAAAGCATTCAAATTCAGATTGTTAAAAAACTGCATGGGACAGATAAAAGCCCTGCTGGCCAATTTGGCCAGTGTCACCAGTGTTGTGTTTTGTTTTAGTCTTTGTACTTAGTGAAGTAAAAAGAACTTTTTTTTTTTTTTTTTGAGACAGAGTCTGTCTCTGCTGCCTGCACTAGAGTGTAATGGTGTCATCATTGTTCACTGCAACCTCAAACTCCTGGGCTCAAGCATCCCTTCTGCCTCAGCCTCTTGAGTAAATGGAACTATAGACACAAGCTACCACACCCAGCTAATTTTTGTATTTTTTATAGAGATAGGATCTCACTATGTTTTTCCAGGGTGGTCTCAAATAATTCTCCTGCCTTGGCCTCCCAGAGTGGTAGGATTACAGATGAGCTACCACACTTGGCCAAAAAATGGCATTCTATGGTTAAGATAGTCAAAGTATCACTTTAGAAAGGATTTTTTTCTATATTTACCTTGCAGGTAAAATAAGCAGAGCTAATTAAATGCAGAGCTTTAAAGAGGGAGAGAAATTTAGAATCCTAAACTTCAAAGATAGCTATATGTATTTATAGCAAATTATATAATGCAATATTATCTGTAAAATAATACTCTATCCATAAATATGAGGTTAATGTTCCACATATTTCTATTTCATAGTAATTTTTACCACATCAAGTCAGCAGAAACATCTTTACTTCCTTTTAGAGTTGATCAAATTTTATTTAGGTCCTGCTTATTGATATCATTCCTCTTCTTACCTGCAGGATACATAATTTGGTTAGAAGAAATAGTAAAGAAAACACTGAGGTTTTTTTCTCTGTATGTTTTCTTCCATAAAGATATCAACTTATTTCTGTGTCTTTTCAGAAATGAAACTACTGAAAAGAAGAATAAAGATTTACAGATCACATGTGATTCTCTGAATAAACAAATTGAGACAGTGAAAAAGTTGAATGAGTCACTCAAGCAACAAAATGAAAAGTAAAATCTCTAGTTCTGTATTCTAAATATTTGGGATTTTTTAAAACAAAATGATTCTCTTTCTATATTGATAAAATTAATAAAATCACTTATTTTAGATATTAAATATATACTAGCAGAATTTACAGGCATAAATTTCCTCTTGAAATATTTCTTGGGGAGAAAAAGCTACAGATGATATGTTTCATTGATATTTTCTTCTATTTTTTTATGACTTCAGAACTGTTGCTCAATTAATAGAGAAAGAAGAACAGAAAAAAGAAGTACAGAACCAGCTAGTAGACAAAGAATATAAACTAACAAGTAAGTGGATTATTTAACTCATTATCTATTTTTAATGTTTTGTGTTAGATAAAAAAAATCAAAGCATGAATGGTTTCTTTGTTTTCTACTTTTCTCATTCTTCTAAACCATAAATCACATTAAGAACAGCTCTCCGTTTCTTGCCATAACATTTCACAAAAATAGTTTAGATTGATCAAGTTAAAAAAACAATACATTTTGTTGAAATCTGGGTTATAGGAAACGATTGCCCTTTTTAAAATAAAAAATTTTCAAGGAACATAACAGCAGGTGGCAGTACTTGGTAACTTTTAGTTATTAGCTTCTCAATACTGGTGGTATATCTGTGAAATGATCCACAAAAACATTTTTGTTCTAACTCATTTGCCTTAGAGCACAGACACCTACCTATATAATTTTTTATAATTGTAGCTCTCCTTTTCTTGTTTAACTTAAGCTTTAAGGGTTGCCTTCACCTCTTTAAAGTATATTTAGATCATAGGACGAGGGAAAAACATGGAGATTTAGTATTTTGTATAGAATACTGTCATATAGGAAGAGTTTCAAGGTATTCTTCAGCAAATACTGTAAAATTTCCAGCAAGATGTTTCTTCATCTTCCTAGGTGTCTTTCTTTTGTTCTTATGATATTACTACTAAACCTTTTCAGGGTATTGTCAGTATAAGAGCTCTGAGTATAAGCCGGGCACAGTGGCTCACGCCTGTAATCCTAGCACTCTGGGAGGCCGAGGTGAGAGGATCACTTGAGCTCAGGAGTTTGAGACCAGCCTGAGCAAGAGCAAGACCCTATCTCTACTAAAAATATAAAAAGTCTCTACTAAAAATAGAAAATTTGGGGGGGACCTGGCATATATGCCTGTGTCCCTGGTACTTGGGAGACTGAGGCAGGAGGATCCCATGAGCCCAGGAGTTTGAGGTTGCTATGAGCAAGGCTGACGCCACCACGGCACTCTAGGTAGGGCAACAGAGTGAGAATTTGTTTCAAAAAAAAAAACCTCTGAGTGTATAGCTGACTGACTGTTTGTTTTAAGATTTGCATCAAAAATCAAAAGTACAAGAAGAAAAGATTAAAGTTTTACAAAAGGAGAGGGAAGATAAGGAAGAAACTATTGATATCCTTAGAAAAGAATTAAGCAGAACAGAACAAATAAGAAAAGAGTTGAGCATTAAGGTAAGAGTTCTCATTTGCCTTAAAATGAAGAAGTCTTTTTTGAAAGGGTGAATTTGAATAAATTAATGTTCTCTTTCTTTAGTAAATTTGTTCCGAAGATAATAGGGGCTCAAAACAGTTTGAGTATCATTTGTTATGAGGGCTCTCTCACAGTGTGAAACCTGTATTTCCAAAAATCATTAAACATTTATTAAGTACATACTGTGTGTTAGCACTTACTGCTATCAAGTGTACAAAAAATACAGAAAGGGATTCCTACTTTTTGATGTTACATACAGGTAGCTATATGTATGTATATAGCAGTATCTCTGCTTATGGGAATGGTAGCAATAATAGTAGTTCATATTTGTTTAGAATTTATAATTTGCAAAGGACTATTTGATACATTTTTTTACTTTTTACTTTAACAAATATTATATTAACATATAAATATTAATAAATATTTTCAACTTACAAATGAATAAACTGAGTCTGAGGTTACTTGTTAAGATCACATAATTGATAAGTGGAACACTAGACATATTCTGAATCTAAGTCCAGTGTTCTTTCTACATTATCATGATTGCATAGCTTGAGTGGTAGCTATGAATTGTGCTTTTTGACCCATTTACCACCAGGAAGTTGAGAACAGAATAGGATTAAAAGACTATTTGAATTACTACAGAGCCTGAGTAACAAAAGAGGTGTAAATTCAAAGCGATATTTACAATTTTTCCACTTCTACTTTAATGTGATTATCTTATTAGTGATTTTAAATAGCATTGTGTAGTATTTTCTGCAAAATTTCAGCTGCTAGCATTGATTTAAAAAAACAAGTTTAATGTGTCTTCCCAATTTGTATTATATTTTTTAATGGTTATTTAAACTTACCATATAATTTAATTAACTAAAATACAATACATATGTATTTATAATGTATCTTGAAATAGTTGTCATACAAATAAAAAACAAAAGCATCTTAAAATATCTGTGAAGAGAAACATGCAAAGTTATTTTTCTTTTCAATCTCCCCCCCACCCCAATTCTTTAGGCTTCCTCACTAGAGGTTCAAAAGGCACAATTAGAAGGTCGTTTGGAGGAGAAAGAGTCCTTGGTGAAACTTCAACAAGAGGAGTTGAACAAACATTCTCACATGATAGCAATGATCCACAGTTTAAGTGGTGGAAAAATAAGTCCAGAAACTGTGAATCTCAGTATATAGACATTATGGCATTTTTGAATTTGTAAACTAATGTAATTTTTTATGTATTTATCTATTGGAGGGAGGCGAGTAGGGGAGGTAATTTGTGACTCCAAAACAATAGAAAATTATTATCTAAGTATTAATTTAGTAAAGAAACCTGATCTGAAACATATTTTTACTTGATCTTTTGAATAGAAATTTTTTTTAAGTTTTATTTCCTGTTTCTGGCTTTTATTGCTTAAAGCTTTGGTTCTTATATTAAAATTTTCCTTTTAATCTCCCTTATCATTTTTCTAAGGTCCTTTGCTTTTTTCTTAGTTGCTTTCCACTCTGTTTCACTTATTTATTATCATTTGTGATTATTTAGATCTTAAGAGTCAAACTTTCTCGGTATAACAACCCTAATGATTAATAAATTAAAAAGATAATTATTAGTAAAGAGAGAAGGTATGATGATACTGCTAGAGAAGTTTTTCTATAAAGAAACACAAAAGAAAATATTAGTGAGTTTAAAATAGTTCTTATTACTGCATTTAAAATGCAGAAAGCTCCACATTCACATGAGGTTATTATAAAAAGAAATAAAATGCAGTAAGATACATGGTATAAATTCTAAATTTGAAAAAAAATGCAATGATTAATTATCAGAAATGTATAAAAATTAGAAAATAGCTATTGTGTTAAATGATTTACATTGTCTCAAAAATCTAATGTGTAGAATTACTTGTAAGATAGGTTTTTTTCTCTTTTTAAAAATGCTGTATATTGGCCCACCCATATCACTTCTAATCAATTATGAATTTCTTATGATTTACATGAGGATAATTTGGATTCTACCCTTGCTGCATGTTTAGAAATTTATTATTTACTATTAATTCTGATGTGAATTGCATGTAATATACTGTCTTAGAGTTAGTTTTTCAATGGACCATTTAATTTTAAAGCATAGGTTAAATATTCTTATCCATGTATTTCTTTAATACAAGGGAATTTTTTAGTACTTTCATTTGAATCAAATGTTCTAAGTAGTGGATGTAGAAAATGTTTTTATATCAATATTTTTATTTTATTGCTATACCATTACAACCATTAATTTTACTTGGTGTTTTTTCACTATATCTTTGATTTAAACAAATTTAGATTTACTTCTATTTCTGAACCATAGTATATCTGAATTTAGGGTTTTGAAATATTTTCATATTTTGCTAATTACATTAAGTAATTTCAAGCTATAATAGATTTATAGATATATATACATTTTGTACAGTTCCAGAAAATTTTTTAAAGTATTGTACATAGAAAAACATTTTAAATTACTACTTATCTTATAGAGATACCTTCTATTTCTCTTTTGAAATTGCATACATTCTCAATTTAATGGAAAAAGTTTACATAAATAGATATGACTGAAGAACAAAAGGTTCTGTAACTTAAAGGAACAAAAAATTAAGGAAATGAATGAATAAAACAAAAACTCTAGGTATAATCCAACTACATTTTACATTTAGACATCTCAAGACACTGAGCCTAGCCCAGTGCTGCCCTATATTTTCTGTGATAATAACAATATTCTGTGCTGTCTAATACCATAGCTGTTTGTCACATGTGGCTATTGAGCATTTGAAATATGGTCTGTGCAACTGAAGAACTGAATTTTTAATTTAATTTAATTTTAATTAATTTAAACTTTAATAACCATCCTGCTGGTCATGCAGATCCAGCCTGTTCTTGTAAGTATGCATTTTTAAACAACTAAGTATGACTATTAAAGACCTATATAAACAGATACTCCATATATTTAGTAGCTTTTTTTTAATATAGTAGTTTTAACCTGTTTATTGCTAATGTTTTCTCTCTGAAGAGGAAAATTCATACTTCAGCTTTGAAGGTGAGTAGTTACTAATCATTATCCTTTGTCACTCTCTGTCTCTTGTAGCACCTTTCATATTGTTTCTGTGGGATATTGGGTACTTTTTGCTTTTTGATCTGTATACCTCTGATTAAGAAAAACAGAAGTAAGGCTGGGCACAGTGGTTCTCACCTGTAATCCCACCATTTGGGGAGGCCTAGGTGGGAGAATCCGCTTAAGGCTAGTTTATAAAAAACCTGAGCAACATAGCAAGACTTTGTCTCTACAAAAAATAAAAATAATTTTAAAAATAAGCCAGGTATAAGTTTATGTGAGAAACTTAAAACTGAGCTATAAAATGACACTGTTTCTTTTTTCCACTCCTAATTCCAAATGAGTATCACTGGCAAAAAAGGACAAAGTCTGAGCAGAGATGATTTTAAATCGGATTTTTTGCCATTATCACTATTCAACAAGAGCAATCCCTGTGGGTCAGAAGAAATTACAAGGTTCTATTATAATAATTAAGTGTGAAGATATAACTATTGCACTTACACCATCTCCAATTCTTTCAATATCCATTAATAGTGTTGCTCATAAGAATCGCCTGGAGTTTGTTAAACATACAGATTCTCAAGCTCCTCTCTTGTTTCATTAGGTTTGGCAGGCAGGGCCCTGGATTTTGATCAAAAACATAAGAGCATTTTAAACTGAGCACTTGAAAGAGAACTTAGACATCTTAGTTGGGGACAAGTCCATTTGAGCTTTACATCTGGATGTTATCTTCAGTCAGATAAAACTAACGTGTGGGCTAGTATCTTTATGCCTGGCTCTTAGTAATTTTATACCCTGTTGTAAATGTGTAAATATGCCCAGGCCTAAAGCCTTGACTTTCAAGGCTTTCAGTAGTGCCTGCAGTGCCAGCTGCTTGGGAAGCTGAAGCAGGAGGATCACTTGAGCTCAGGAGTTTGAGGTTTTCTAAAAAAAATGTAATCAATTCTGAGCCACCACCATAGTCAGAGTTTTAGAAATTATTTGTATTTGTGTCTGCATGCCCATTTCCTAATAGAGAAAAACAAACCTTAGGAAATGCATCATTATAGCTGAAATCCTCTTAAAATTTTGCTAGGAAGAGTTTGTCTCAAAATGTTCATTAACAATTCTTTTTACTGTTTACACTTGCCACTTGAACAAATAGAGAATTGTCTTAAGATTTGGCTGATTATACTAAACTATCAATTTAATGTCAGGACAAAAGGAAAATACTTAATAAAACTTTATGCTGTCTCTTAAGAGGAAATTTATCAGGTAGTGCCCATTTGAGTCTGTTTACTTTTATGTCATAAAGACGATTTATTTGAGAATGTAAAGAGATTTATGTTTTGAGTTAGGACTGTTAGTTCAATGAATGTGTGTTTGAATTTCAGCTTCTACCTGAGGCTCATTTGTGTATGTTACAGGTACTTTTTATTAAGGTATATTCCCTAAAACTCATAGCCTTATGATTTGATTCTTTCTTTTCCTCCTTTCAAATATTTACAACTTTGTTTTTGACATACATACTATTAGACTAGACACGTGTCCTGTTTGTGACTTAATTCCTTTATAGCAGTCAGCAAACATTTTGTGTAAAAGGCCAGCTAGTAAATATTTTAGGCTTTGTGAGACCTAGAGTCTGTCACAACTACTAAATCCTGCAATTGTAGCACAAAAGCAATCATAGATAATAATATAGCAGCCATAGATAAAAGTAAATAAATGGTAATGGCTATATGCCAATAAAACTTTATTAACAAAAACAGTCAATGCTTTGCTATTGGATGTTATTTCTACTCATTAAGAAATGTGTCTCTTTACGTTTGGTAATCTTTGTCTGGAGATCTATTTTATTTGATAATAATATAGCCACTTACTTAATTCTTTTTATGTTTTCTATTGGCCCGGTATATCTTTTGCTATTGATTTACTTTTAACCTGTGTGATTATATATAAAATGCATGATTTATAGACAACATATAGTTAGGTCCTACTTTTTTTATCTATTGTGACAAAATAAGTCCTTTACTTTCACAGTCCACTCAGAGTTACTATTGTACTACTTAACATAAAATATAGAAACCTTGCAGCTATATAGGTCCATTTGTCCTCTTCTTATCCATTATGCTATAATTGACATATATGTTACCTCTATATACATAACAAGCCCCCAAATCAATGTTATAATTTTTGCTTTAAACAGCTATATGGAATACCCCTGGCTGTCATCATCAAATGTAATTACCTGTTTGCATGCAATAATATCAAATAGTTCTTTAGTGTAATATTACTGTTTTTCTCTTTGGAAATAATAAGTTGTGGGCAGATACTACAAATATGCTATTTCTCTTCTAACTTTCATCCACAAGTTTTAGCATCTGTTGATAATTCTTGCCTGAATCAGTTATTTCTCTGATGGTTACCAAATGGTTATTTTCTCTTTTTAATGCTAGAAAATTGAACATTTTAGTAATGTTATGATATACTGAGAATAGCAGTCTAAATGGCATCACTTATATCATTGACAAAATATAGTACTTACAGTTTTACAATTAATACATCATGTACTTTCTTTTTTTGTGCATATTTTTACAAGCCAAGATTTTGATATTTGATTTCTGTAGTTTAAGAAAATAAATGGGCCGGGCGCGGTGGCTCACGCCTGTAATCCTAGCACTCTGGGAGGCCGAGGCGGGCGGATTGCTCAAGGTCAGGAGTTCAAAACCAGCCTGAGCGAGACCCCGTCTCTACCATAAAAATAGAAAGAAATTAATTGGCCAACTAATATATATAATATAAAAATCAGCCGGGCATGGTGGCTTGTGCCTGTAGTCCCAGCTACTTGGGAGGCTGAGGCAGGAGGATCGCTTGAGCTCAGGAGTTTGAGGTTGCTGTGAGCTAGGCTGATGCCACGGCACTCACTCTAGCCTAGGCAAGAAAGCGAGACTCTGTCTCAAAAAAGAAAGAAAGAAAATAAATGATATGTTAAGCGTATTGGATTTTTTTTAAAGCATCAGATCCTTTTGTTACTATTTTTCTTTCTAAATTCACTAATAAGAGAATTGCTCATTGAAATCATGAGATTCTATTAGTTTGGGTTATCACTTGCCTTGGTGCTCTCAACGATCACCAATAAATAGTAAATGTGTATTACCCATAAAAATAAGTACTTTGGATTAAGAAACTAATTATACATTTCCAGCCTTCACTGAGCTTACATTTAAAATAATTTTTTAAAAATAATTAAAACAAAATGAATTTTAAAATGTCTTGCTTTAAAAGA